AGATCAGTGGTGCCGTTTGCTGTATCATTTCCGTCAATGAACTTTAACTCAAGTTCTCTTTTCTTTTGTAATTCAGTATATGTCACGGATTGTCAGTTTATCGTTCTTCTTGTTCACAGCTGAATAAACAAAAACTGAGCTACAGTTATAATACAGCACCAGAAAATATGTAAAGGCCCTAAAAATGAGTTTACCAGCTAGAGTCAGTGAGGCTGTGCTGCCATGTTTTACACTGAGCTTTAAAGCGCTGTCACCAGTCCGTTGGAGACTAAAGTGAAAGTCCATTATGCTGGCCTGAGCGGCTCAAAATATGGAAACTATTGATCGGGTCCTCTGCACTGCTAATTAAAGATGCTCCACTATTTGTAAAAAGTCAACCCAATTATCAAATGAGCACATGAGGCTGGGAGCTGTTGGCTGGTGTGAAGGTTGCCGGGGACTTTTTTCCAGCGTTGTGACAACTTTTCACCGTTTATTTTATTCAACTTTTGTACAAAAACTGGCTCTCTGTTTTTGCACACGTGTTGTCTTGATGCATACAGTTTATTTTGAATGTTTAAATGATTTGGTTGCTATTTGGTTCGCTTCTTTCTGTTGTCTGCAGCTTTATTTGCATTTAGGCCTATTTGTTTATTTGTTTGTTGTGGCTTTAAAAAAGATACCTAAGCTTGCTCTGGTTTAGAAAGAAGCACCCGTGGAGCTGTGTGACCCATGTCCCCGAGCCCCGGTGTGAAGCGTTTTAATGCCCCCGCCCCTCCACTACCACCATCTTCCCTCTTCCCCCCTTTTTCTGCTCAATGGACTGTCACATGTGACCCGAAACCACGTGGGATCTGAGGCCCGATGCCCCCTCCCCGCATCAACTGTCCCTCAACATGTTGGTGTGTGAATGAGCTTCTGCCTGTCTCTGTGTTTTATGGAAAGATGAGGCCAACAACACGGAAAAGACCAGGCCAAGTCAAGTGATATTGTCCACAACAAAGACTATACATAGCAACACAGACTGGCCCGCAGGACGAGTACAGTGTGTTTTGGTTAAATACAGAGACAGCCCGGCCCCGCAGACAGAACGAGAGGCTCAGTTATAGACAAGATAGTGGTAAAATTCTTATTTTATTCAACATGCCTATTAAGAACAAACTGTCACAGGCTGGATGTGCCGGATTAATGTGGTTTGATGGTTTAGATTTAAGTGGAAAAATGCAGGGCAACAAATTCATACCAAAAAGTAAACCATAATACATGTATTGTACGCATACTAGGAACAAAGTGGAAAAAAACTGGTGGCCTGTTGTCCCCTTGAATCCACAAATGTAACAAAGCGACCACATCACATAACGGTCCCAGCAGAGAATAGTTCTGGGAGGAAATAGAAGAAACCGACACAAGCCGCAGATTTCCCCGGACATGAGATCCAGCTCGTCTATTTGTAGCGCTGGACCAGAACAGCCTCCCAAAACGGCTCCAAACCTTTTTGATACAGCGTTATCTGGACGTCTGCTCGGTAATCGATGTTATCTTTTTCTGTTTCCCCCACCCCCCTCGATCCTTGTTTTATTTTTCCCTTACTGTGTAGAAGCTCTATATTTGGCTCTTCAGTGCTCTGCCAATAGTACTTCTGTCACATGGCAGTCACAAAGCGCTCTGTAATTATAACCTTGCTAGGTTTCTGCATGATGACTGACTAAAAATACTCCCACATTGTTGCAGTGGGTAAAAAGCTGGATTTCTTGAGGTTTTTGCATTTGTTTTTGTGTGTGTGAAACGGTGTCTGCTCAGGGGAGACGAGTGTTTGTGATACTCTGCTGTGTGTGTGTGTGTGTGTGTGTGTGTGTGTATATTTTTAGATGTGTGTGTCTTGTGCAGTTCAATGGGTTGGCTGATTTGGTTCGCCTTGGTTCCAGGGAAGCACTGATTGAAAAATAGATTATTGTGTAACTTGTTAAATGTTGATCTCAACCCGACATGATGCTAACGTCGGTACTGATCAGGGCTACAGATGTGTGTTCTTATCTGTGTTTCATGATCATTTGTATGGTTCTCTTTGTTTTCTTTTAAAATGATGAGAATAAAAAAGAAATTCTACATTGTGTCAACAGAGGTCAAAAACCCGAGACTTATATAAAGGACACAAAAGAAAGCAATTTCCTGGATATTAGCAAATTGCGTGGACATTTGTGTTTATAGTGTAAAATATTTTCTAGATCTAAAATGTTAATATTTAGCAGATTAATGAAAATAATTCAATGTTTGTTTCAGCCAGAATTCAGTAAGGTCTAACATGCATTTTGAACCTTATGCAACTTTGAATGAGCTATTACTGCTGTTCCCTTTTATAGTGAGTAGAAACCGTGCTAACCTGTAGGTGTGGGGAAGCCCAGAAGAAGTTTCCCGGTTAATCTAGTTGATAAAAGTCATAATCTTAACCTCTTCAGGCGATGATTCACATGATGTCCGTTGTCCTCGAGTCATAAAGTTATTTTAAGCTACATAATTGAACTTATTTAGAACAACTGTCCGAAGGTCAATTAGTTTAAGACGAGGTGTGGAGGATTGTTTTTTCATACGATAAGACCTCTGTTCAGCCTGGAGAGATGACTCGGCATACCTCGTCTGGTTAATAAGTACAAACTGTAGCGTGCACTAAAATAATATAGAAGCACTTTAACCTGTGGTAACATGTGGCATGCATTTGTCATTTTGGCGACATTGTAAAAGCTAATTTAAGAAGCCAATCAAAAGAATCCTAGTGCATTATGGAAATGTATTTGAAAGGTGTGCTGATACAGTAGATACAGCTTCTTTGTGTTAGACAGACTAGTTCTCTTTCAGAAATAGCCTCACTTCTGCTTTTTTAGCGGACTGTGAGGCAGAAATGAAGTCGGTGTGATGAAAACATTGTTGTCAGAGCACATGAGCGCTGTCTCTGTTATCTAATGCTTCATAATGGAGCATTCATTCCCGGCTTATTTCATTCTACATGAGTCTATTAAATGTGCTTCTTTTAGGGGTGAATTTGAAAATGAACCACACATGTGAATCAAGTGTTAATTGATTAAGTGTAAGTCTTCAATTTTACTTTAATGCCCTTTTTTAAAATTATATATATTTACTCAATTCTTTGTTTTAAGTCTAGATGTTGTTGACTTAAAGTCTGGGCATTTAACATTATCCTAGTCAAAGAGAATTCAAACTATTCTCAATGAAAAGTGGAAACGTGGTCTTTTTTATATTTCCAGTGGTATCGTCACCGTCACTGTTTAAAGACGTCTGCGCTGCCTCGTAGTCCTCTTGTCTTAGTCATGAGAAAAGGTTGTTGACGAGCGTATGCAGTGATAGATTGTGTTAATGGATCTAACGCTGATTGCTTGTAGCCGTGTCCTATGACATCCTGAAGCTGCAGAGGGCTTTGGTGAAAAATGAAGGATGATCCTCGGCTTTATCTTTTCCTTAATTTGTATCATTCTCTCCATTGTTTATTGATATTAAATAGTATTGCTGTCATAATGATGGCTGTGGCCTGGACTACTGATTAGTGATGAAGGCTTCTGGGTAATTAGTTGTCAGGTTTTTGCTTATTTTATTTTCTGATCAATTCAGCGTTTGGTTTATTCAAAATAACACATTTTATATAATTGAAGACTTACAGATTCAGCTAATTCTCAAAAAAGCCAAACATTTGTTTTAAGTGGTTGCCGATTTATTTTGGACTAGTAATCAATTTATCAGCACATGTTTGAAGTTCAGTTCTAAAATAAATGTATAAACTACAGAGAGAGCAAGAGAGACGTTTAGTCCTTCACTTTTAAAGTCCTTTTGGGGAGTAACACTTTTACATTTCATGCTCACAAACATATTTATACATATTTTAAGTGCATTTTGCTTTGGAAAATATACATATACATTTTTTAATAGATTAAAAGCTTTGTTTTATGTATCGCGCTGTGTAGGTAGGTAGGTAGGTAGGTAGGTAGGTAGGTAGGTAGGTGCAATTTAGGAAATTATTTTGTCACAGCATAATTTTGTCAATCTATAAAAAATTACAACCTTACTAAAAATAGAATAAAATAAAAAATGTAATAACAATATATACATATTCTCAATAAAAAAGAGCATATATTTAGAGTAGTATCTAAACACTATAAAATATTGAGAATGAATTAGAATACTATCTAATATACCAATCTACTAAACATATAAACATAGTGTACCATATACATTAAAAAGAAAATGGTGTACAGTCGCTTGAAACTAAAAGCAATGTATATCCTGTCTGGTGCTTTTTCGCACAGCAGTGCAGTAATGGAACTTTTTTTTGAGTCAATATTAATAGCACTTCCGCCTTGAAACGGAAGTTGGATCAGAAAAGAAGGCCACGTTGAAGCACCCTAGTTCAGGTGAAGAATAAGGTGAACAAATGGTTGTTTTTGATGATGTGATGCAGATGATCCAGGGGCTGAGTGACCCTGTGTCCCCGGCCCACTGTCCTGAGCCTCTGCTGTGCACATGCTCTCAGTAGTGAAGCAAGCTGTCTAACCTCCACAATAACCGCCTTATGTAATCACTCTGGCTAGAGACAGACCAAAATAGCCCAGACTGAGCAGCCCTGCCCTCTTGTGGCGAGCGTCCGCCTCAACACCGGCTGCAGAGAGTATCTGAGAGAGGAGGCAGACATGGCGGCCGCCTTGTGCAGCTTCCTGTGTATCTCACTTGAGCGAATGAATAACTGACGCAGCACAACGGGTTTCATGAATGATGTGAAAGTTGTGACGTGTGATCAGAAGTGAAGATTGTTGGTAAAGAGACAAGATTGTGGTGAAAGTTGTCTGGGGTTTCTCTGTGAGATGAGCTCTGGATCTCTGTTTGTTCTTTAGAAATCAGTAAATATGGAGATTCATCTGATAGATTTCCTAGTTTGCTTTGAATTGTTTTATTTATTTAAATCTTACTCGTGTTCCTGCAGACTTATTAATAACCCTGTGTTGTTTGTTTCTTCGCAGTTTCCTGGACAGAATTGACTCTGTAAGACAGAACGACTACACACCAACGGACCAGGTCAGTCCCGTCACTGTGCACAGTCTAAAGTTTGGAAATCCCCTCCAAAAGCTTGTCTGAAATGTTACTGAACTCGATACGTCTTCTCTTCCAGGACCTGCTACGCTGCCGAGTGTTAACTTCAGGGATTTTCGAGACGAGGTTCCAAGTAGACAAAGTGAACTTTCAGTAAGTGCTGCTCAGCTTTCACTCAGACACACGTAAAGGTAAAGACGGTGCTTTCTTTGTCTGGTCTATTCTTTAATTAATGGTTTATTCAAGCAACTAGGAATATATATTATATACGCAGACTAAATTGACAAAATTCATACATTTGTAACCAAGTATGTGCCCGAATTCTTTTTTTTTTTTATCTTAACATACTTACTACTTCCATCGTAAAATCCAAAATACTCAAATGCCACAGCAACACGCGGGGTCAACCAAAACTTGACGTCGATTTTTTTTTACCAAAGCATAAATCTGCTTCCTTTTTGCGTGACTTTCGTTCCTATATTCACGGTTAAGATCAACGTTTTTTCCCCCAGCTATAAAAGCAGCCAACAGAAGTTAAAGTCAATGTTTTGTAACAGTTTCTGATGGTGTCGGATGAGATGACCCATTTCTGCCGCCGCGGAGACAACAGACTTTGAATCGAGCCTTTGTTTCAAATAATATCATCCTGAAGGGTTGATGTAAAAGCTCAGGGACACAACCTCCATTAAAATGGGACGAATTTCTATTTGGGCTCGTACATTCAATCCCCACGAACCTCAAAACAAAACAATTATTTGGAATTCTTACTGTTGCAGCAAAAAAAAGTAAGAACTAGAAAATGTCTCAAAGCGGACATCCCTTCTCTTGACCACTGGTACGACAAAACCATGAAATGTATGTCATGGAAAGAATCACCTTCTCAATGAGGCTTCAGGAAAACACATTTGAGGAAATATGGAGACAGTGGAGAATCTACATATCCCTAAGTCGACCATCCCTTGTTTGACTGTTTCTATATACACTGATTGAATGTATATGTATAGGTGTGTACGTATGGACACATGTATGTATGTTGATATGTATGCATGTGTACATGTGTAGACATTTGCTATTTCAAACAACCCCTGTGTACTTTTTATTTTATTTTGACTAATTTTGTTTGCTATTTCATTTGTCATTTTCGGGTCTCTAAAAATATATGATTTGAAAAACTGTACTTTTAATATAATGTGACCCCAAATAAATAAATAATTAAAAGAAAAAAAGATTTTCAGGCTTGCTAAATACAGTACAATCTGAACGTGAAGTCCAGACATGACCTCTTTGATTACACAGAGCAGCAACATGTGTGTGTTGTTAAGTCTAACCCAGTGTTTTGTCTCCTCCATAGCATGTTTGATGTTGGAGGCCAGAGAGATGAAAGGAGAAAATGGATCCAGTGCTTTAACGGTGAGACTTTTCCTTCTTCATCTTGAACTTTACAACACAGTCTCCTCCTATCACATCTCATCTGTCATTAAGCACTCCACCTCTTATGGGTTATTTCTACACACATGATGTCAGAGAGCTGTCCTCATGTGGTTCCTCTCTTCTACTTCTTCTTCTTCTTCTTCTTCCAGACGTCACTGCTATCATCTTCGTGGTGGCCAGCAGCAGCTACAACATGGTAATAAGGGAAGACAATAACACCAACAGGCTACGGGAAGCCTTGGACCTCTTCCGCAGTATTTGGAACAACAGGTGAGGCAGGAAAGACTTGCTTCTAAGGGGGCTTCAATGATGTTAGGAGTAGGGATGCTCCGATCGACAATTTTGGGGCCGATCGCCGGAATCAGTATCGGCCAATCCGATCGAGTGGGCGGGGCCTATGGGGGCCTATGGGGATCTTCCATTTAAAGTGATGTTTAAAACTCAGTTAATGGGGCTCATTCACTGGCGCTTCCACAAACAACAACCACATAATTATTACATTCAAATGAAGTACATTATTCAAGTTTACATTAACTTTGGATAATAACTCTCTCTCCCCCTCTCTCTCTCTCTCCTGACAGCCTGTCAGTATCGTCTCATGCAGCTCGCTACTCCAGTAATGAGTGTGATATGATATGTATAACTAGTTTAGCTTGTTCCAGAGGTAGATCAAATAGCTAAGTGTGTTAGGTCTAACTCTTAGTGTGTGTGTTGCTCCGCTCACCGGTCCGTCACAGCGGGCGGAGCTGCAGGATTTCTGCTTCACACACGTTGCATACCGCTATTTTACTGTCATTTTCGGACACCTTAAAATACTGCCAGACCGGTGAAGCCAATTTGGCGAGCTTGCACAGAGAAAAGTGTCATGTATTCTACGTCATGTGATCTGCTCTCCCGATCGGCCTTTATAGAGAGCACCGACCGATCGGCAGAGAGTGAATATCGATCGGAGCATCCCTAGTTAGGAGTAGTCATCTGAATATACTTGAAGTTGTAAAATCAACATGCATAGCCTTCATGTTCTGTGAGTACCTTCAGTCTAAAAACAAGAATTTGACTTAATAATAATACCTGCTGCTTTAAGGTCATTGAAACATTTAAAGGGTTAATGCAACGTCCACATCTCTTTTGCCCCTATAATGTCCGGTCGTGTGTCGCTAACGAAAGCATTAAAAACAGCCCTAAAAGTAACAAATAAACACTTCTTTCAATATCATCACACTTTTTATGTCGTAAAACTTAACCAAGATGTTCAGAGGACCGCTCGTTCCATCTTTTGACTTGAACTGACGGGGTTTGATAGCCATGTTGACTCTCATGCAGTGTAGATACTCATTCTGTGACGTTGTTTTTCAGATGGTTACGCACTATATCGGTCATATTATTCCTGAACAAGCAGGACATGCTGGCTGAGAAAGTATTAGCTGGAAAATCCAAAATTGAAGACTACTTCCCCGAATATGCTCGCTACACCATACCAAATGAAGGTTCGTGCCCCGCTGAAATAAACAAGTACCTTAGAGTTCCTCTTTACGTCAGTATGTGTTTGAATGAGAATCTGTGTTTCTTTTAGCAACTCCTGAACCTGGTGAGGACCCGAGAGTGACGAGAGCTAAGTTCTTCATCCGAGACGAGTTTCTTGTAAGTATTTCTCTGTTTGTAGAGAGCTGAAGTTGATGACTGTCCAGCCGTGAATAGCTTCATCCTTTTAATTCATTGGTCAGTGTTATTGTATGTTACGTGACTCATTATTAGGAACAGTAGGAGTTGAAAAGAGGGACTTTTCCTTCCTTTTGCCTAAATCTGTTTCTATTTCCTGAGGTGAACATCTGTGAGATCAAGTGTTTGTGTGTCTGCATTTCATTACTTACCCTAACAAAAAAAAAAAAAACAAAAAAAAATGGGTACTAGTCGAGGGCCGGTTCAATGTTTATTGCAAATCTTATTGAAATTAACTTATTGCACATATTAAACCTGGAACTAAAAAAGCTCAAATGATTGCCTATAAAAACCCAATAGCTTTGTCATTGGACCTGGAC